GGCAGGGCAGCCCCTGCCACGCCGCTCTCACCCCTCTTCACAAATAGCCCCCGGCAGCCGCCAGCGAGCGAGCAGAGCCCAAAGCTGCCCTGTTGTTAGGGTAGGAGAGAGACACCGAGACAATCAGCAACAAGTGACGCCGGGTGATTAGCTGGGTGTGGGCGCGCGAAACACGCACATACACACAAGCCGGGTCCAATGTTCAAGCAACACAATTCCCTCGATGTTCAGCTCTTCTCCCCGAACCAAAGATAAGTCCTGGAGAGGTCAGTTATGGGGAGTGTACAGTGCTGGGGACAGGGACACACACATACACCCCGTAGTTCAGAGTGTGAACACACACACACATACACCCCTTAGTTCAGAGTGTGAACACACACACACATACACCCCTTAGTTCAGAGTGTGAACACACACACACATACACCCCTTAGTTCAGAGTGTGAACACACACACACATACACCCCTTAGTTCAGAGTGTGAACACACACACACATACACCCCTTAGTTCAGAGTGTGAACACACACACACATACACCCCTTAGTTCAGAGTGTGAACACACACACACATACACCCCTTAGTTCAGAGTGTGAACACACAGATCCCCCTTAGTTCAGAGTTTGTGACCATCGTTCCCAGACAAATCTGAGTAGAGGGGAAAGAAGGGGAGGAAAGAGAAAACACCGATGATCAAGCTTAAATCTCACACTCACAGATTTGTTGTTCCAAGTCTCTAGGAAGACCGTTGTCTTCTGGCTGCCTTCAAGCCGCGCTCTCCCTGGTCACTTTCATGCTCAGTTGTGATGGAAAGTGATTTGCAGTTTCTTTGTCGCTTTCCCCTCCTTCCTGATAGAGGAGAGCCTACACTCTGAGTAGCAGCAGCTTCTATGAGCGCCTGCCTGTCAAGGCAAGCTCACCCTTTGCTTGCCGGGGGAGCTCTGCTTACTGCTCTGACTGCTCAGCCGCCTGGCGTGGAGAGGCGGAGTGCAATGCAATCAGTGCCAGTGATGCCATCTCCAGCCAGCCCACACTAGTTTTGCTATAATAACTATGGGAATCAAACCGGTTTCCAGCTGCCAGAGCAACAAAGAGTTTTGTTCTAGTTTGGATCGATGACTCTGACCTACGGGGAGCAAGATGGGCAGATGTAAAAAGCAACCCAACAACTCACAGCCATCCGAAGTGGCCAGTGGACTTTTTTCAGGGAGTGCTTTGCTTTCCCTGACCACAATGGAGTCAGAATCAAATGCAAATGGGCTCCAGATGCCCATAATGAATCCAGATGTAGAACAGCCAGCATCTTAGCTGGTCAGGTGTTTGCTCTCTGTCCAGTTTATATGCAACATGCAGATTCTGCAAACTAAAATTCTGACTGCAGAATGTGAGTGTTTGAATCTAGAGGTTTGGGTGATACAGATCTTTGAATTCCAGAATCCAGCTCTGATTTTGAACATGTTCCTGCATAGAGCCAAATGATTTTTTTTCAATTAATAGGTTTTCTGAGTCCTGAAATCTATTTGTGGAATTCGGATCAAATTCAGCAGAAGATATGGACTGGAAAAAATTATTCAAAAGTCTCAATGTTTTGTATCAGAGCAGTTGTTTTGATGTGTCAATTCTAAACTAAATGATGCCATTTGGCTTGTTTAAAAAACATACCCTTAAAAAGGAGCAAAAAAACCCCTCCTGGTACAGCCACTTGAAAAGCACACTTGAAAAGAAATTCATTTCTAATTGACTCAAAATGATTTTTAAATGTTTTTTTGTTCAAATGAAAACTTTCAGGAGAAAAATTGCTTTCAGTTGAACTGAAATTATTATTTTTGGTTCAGTCTCCTCTACAGAAAAATCACTCAGCTCCACTCTCACTTGTATGTGGTGATTACCATGTTGCCAACTCTCTTTTTATCATATGATTCATGATATTTGGTGGTTTTATTAATGTCCCAGCTTCTGGAGTCATGCTATTTCACAAGAACTGCTGCTTTCATTTAAAGCAATGGAAATTTATTTTATAGCCCTTGGGGATGCAGAAAAATGCTGGAATATGTGACCTGTGTGCACCCTGAAGGCAAATAAAAAGAACACAACAATTATTATTTTTAAAAATACTGTGATTTTTTTTAAACCAATGACATGATTTTCAGGGCATGGCTCACAGTTTCTGAATGGCTGTGTCTAGCAATAGTCAGGTCAGGGGTACTCAGAGTTGGGGTGTTGTTCTCCACCTGTTTTGAGATTAGGTGTAAATGCTACTGAACCAGAAGGACACCCTCAGCTGATCAGACCAAAGTGGGCTGCCCAGGCTGACATACACAAGCAGCACCTAAGTATGAAACATATAACTAGTCTCGGAGCTCAGAGATGTAGTCTGAAAGATATGTGCCATAATGTTGCTCTAGTCTAGGGGAAGACATTTGCATGACTTACATGGCAAGCAGGTGGTTAAGATGCCTTCACTTAGTTTATAAGTGCAGTGTTTTCACAAGGACAATATATTCAAGCACCAAAATGCGCATTCAGCTTTAAAGGGACTCTGTAAACTTGAAATCCAGGGTGCTGATCAATTAAAACAAAAAAGGTAAAACTAGTTTTGGTTACTACACCTAGCTCGGAATTTCAAAGACAATTGCTGAGGTTTTACAATCCCATTTTCCTACTTTAAAAAAATATTTTCCTCCCTTCTTTGTTGCTCTGTGAAAGACTCCCCCACAAACAAAGGAGAAACGATTAAGGGCTCGACTATGCAATTACTTGGAGTGTGGCAGGGGCATAGGTGTAGCTACAAGTGGACCTGATTGAGCTGTGGTCCACCGCCTTAGCATCCAAGCCCACCCAAACTGGAGCCAGAGCTCCCCAAATCCATGCACATGGGGGAAGGTCTGGGTGATGCTAGCAATGAGGGACCAGCAGGAGAGTGATGCAACAGGGCAGTAAGGAGTCCTGGGGGGGAAGCAGGGCCCCCATTCCTCTTGCTCCCACTGTGACGTAGTGTGGGTACCTTGCTGGTTGCTAGGCTTGGGTTATGAGTGACCTCCACTGGCTGCTGTCTGCAGCACGGCCCAGCAGGGCAGGGGATGAATCATTATGCAAGGGGGCTTCGAACCTGTCTGACCAGTTATCTCCCAGGGAGCGGAACAATGGGAAGAAGGGGAGTGGAGCCTTGGCTGGGGGCAGGGCTGGAAGTGAGTTAGTGAGGCTTCTGGCTGGTATCATGGAGGAAGCAGCCTAGGCAACGGGCTGGGATTTAGGGGCCAGGCTCCCCTATCTCAAGGGGGGCTGAGGCATCCTAGGCCTGCCCTGTAACCAGATTACATCTGGGCTGTGCTGTATCCTGGAGAAGCAATAAACTCCCTCTATTCTACTGGCTGGGGGGGGCTGTCCGTGCCATTACGGGGGTGCAGGAGACGGGAAAACCCCAACACGCCGTCACACCCTCTCCCCAGGGCAGCCGGTGTTGGCTGTCCAGCTGCTCCCAAGGTGGGTGGAAGGACTCGAGCCTCCAACCCAGTGCTCCCCAGGCAATATCCCCTAAGCAACTCCAGAGCCCACCCCACCTCCCTACCTTCAGTGGTTCCCATCTGCACCTCCCTTCTTGCCTCTCTCCTTAGAGCACCAGATCCGGCCCCTCCCTTCCCCATGGCACTGGATTCCTCCTGCACACCCGATCCTTCCTGTCCCCATTCCCCCACACATCATTGCCCATCCACCTGAAAGCTTCCCCCCCGACACACTTTGTTCTAGCTATGCCACTGCTGTGCAGCATGATGAGATGTAAATGTACAGCACACGCGCATGTCTGGATCCTTCTGCACGGCAGTAAAAGACCCATCACATGGCTGTCAGCTGACTTGGGCTCACAGGGCGCAGGCTGTGGGGCTAAACATTACAGTGTAGATATTCAGACTTGGCTGGAACCCAGGGTCTGAAACCCCATAAATGGGGAGGGTCTTAGAGCCCAAGCCCCACCTTGAGCGCAAATGTTCACCCTGTAGTTTTTGGTCCTGCAAACCAGGTTAGTCAACTGACCCAGGTGGTGAGATTTGGTGCTGTGGCTTTTTTATTGCCGTGTAGACGCAGAGGTGAAAGTAAGCGGGTGCACCTGGTGCACTGCTCCAGCAAGAACTGGCTGAGCTGCGGCAAAAACCAGCAGGGAGCTATTGAAAGAGCTGGCAGGGACCCAGGTTGTAATAGGACCGTACCAGTAAGAAATGTTAAGTTACTTTCACCTCTGTGTAGATGTATCCTAAAAGTTCTGCAATGCCTTTTGCGGGGAGTACATCAGAGAGGGCCAGGGGACTTTCAGCAGGCAGAAGCTAGGTCCACATGGCTAGGTTGGGAGCTGCAGGCTAGTATGATGCATTATTCTTCGTGGAAAGCAGGAGTTATTATTTTGAAACAACCAGCCTCTTATTTCCAAAAAATGGGCTTGGCAGTGTGGATGCTCTGCTTGTTATTTTGAAATAACTTCCTAGTGTAGACCAGGGTTTAGAGCCTGACAAAAATAGATGGTATCATAAGCTTTTGCGGGTAAGACCCATTTCATCAGATGAATTGGAGGGGAAATATAGAATCCAAGGTATATTTGAAAGCAAAATAAAGACCTGTCAATTGTAGGACCCGTGTTAATGAAAGTAATTAAGTGGACTGGATGTGTCCCATTCATTGCTTTTGATGTGAAAATGCAAATGTCAAAGGCAGGGGAAATTGGCTTTGCAGTGTATTAACTAGTTAATGTCTTTATTCAAGCCCAGAGTAACAGTGTCAAATTTGTAGATGAATTCCAATTCTGCAGTCTCTCTCTGAAATTGACAACAAATGGTCTGGTAGCACTTTGTAGACTAACAAAACACGTAGATGGTATCATGAGCTTTCGTGGGCACAGCCCACTTCTTCTGATGACCACTGGACAACTGAAGAAGTGGGCTGTGCCCACGAAAGCTCATGATACCATCTACGTGTTTTGTTAGTCTACAAAGTGCTACCAGACCATTTGTTGTTTTTTCCTGCAACAGACTAACTCGACTATCCCCTGAAGCTCTCTGAAATTGGGTGATGAAATTCCTTTGCAGAAGAATGATTACTTTTAAATTTATGACAGTGTGTCCAGGCAGGTTAAAATATTCCCCTACAGGTTTCTCTGTGTTACCATTTCTGATGTCTGATTTGTGTCCATTTATCCTTTGTCACAGAGACTGTCCAGTCTGGCCAATATACTTGGTAAAGGGGCATGGCTGGTACTTGATGACATAGATCACATTAGAGGATGTGAGGTTGTAAGAGCCCCTGATGTTGTGACTTATGTGGTTAGGCCCTGTGATGGTAGCTATGTGGACAGAGACGGCCTAAAGACAATCCCCAACCTGAAGCAAATACTCTCCAGTAGCCACATACTACACCTCAGCTACACTCTCCCAGGATCCTACCCCTGCAACAAATTCCTCAGCTCCCCAGCTGCTGACCTTCACTTTTGCTTCTCCCCACCATCCAATTTTCACCCTTTGTAACATTTGGAATTAACCGTGATGGATTGCTGAGAAATGTGGAACAACAAAACCAAACCTGAAAATGACAGGCCTTGCATGCCCAGGCCAAATGGTTTTGTTCCAGCTATGGGCTAGATTGAGTCCCAAGGTCACAAGGAGCCATGTCTAGCTACAACACCCTCCCACCCCAGAGCAACCCCAGAATGGGATTGTTGCAGTTCCCGCCCTGCAGTTCCCTAGTGGGGTTGTTATTCCCTGCTAGCTAGATCCTGGGGAAATGGAATCACACCCACACGCTCTCTGTCCCACTGACAGAGACGGCAGGTGCACCACCCACTTTACTACTGTGCACGTGAACCCAAGCTCCAGAAAGCCCACCTCAGAGAGGTTCTTGTTCCCCTGTGCAGGTGAATATAACCAGGCCCGCTGATAGGGGAGAAAGGGGGCAGTAGCCCTGGGGCCTAGCGAGTC